GCTCCTGGTGCCAGAAGTCAGTTTACCTGACATATGCCAATCTCAGTGATTGCTTGAAGCCAGGTAAATCTCCAGGGTAGAAGGAAGGAAGGTATCTGGGTCAGTAGAAGGACAAGCGTTAATTGACACCACTAGGAATTTTAGGTAATATCTTACACAGATCTTAACTGTCCACTTAGGAAATTAGAGAAATCAAAGTGAGTTTAACACATTAATGATTTAAAATTAAACCTCAAAGAATTCGTAAATAATTATTCATTTGATCTGTTTTAACTTTACCATATATAGTTTCTTTAAAAAAAATTCCTGGGGCTGGAGCAATAGCACAGCGGGTAGGGCGTTTACCTTGCACGTGGCTGACCCGGGTTTGATTCCCAGCATCCCATATGGTCCCCCGAGAACCACCAGGAGTGATTCCTGAGTGCAGAGTCAGAAGTAGCCCCTGAGCATCGCCGGGTGTGACCCAAAAAGCAAAAAAAAAAAAAAAAAAAAAATTCCTCTCTTCATTAACCTCCTCACAAACCTTCTCAACTTACTAAGTTCCTTCAATTTTGTTCTATCTTTTGACATTTTCTCTTACTCTATTTAGAACTTCAGTCCATAACATTCCTTATTGAAGAACTCACATTTCTATAATTAGCACAGAGTCTCCTGCCCCCCTGCCTGGCTGTCCTCGCTGGGGCCCCTTGGAGGGGGCAGGTTGAGTTCCCCTCCTCACCCCGAGCAGAGCCCTGGCAGCAGAAGACTTCCAGAACCAGCCACAACCATGCTGAGACCACTCTCCACATGCATGAAGGTACCAGCAGAAGAACAAAGGCATGTGGATCCCGGGGCTGAGATCTCCAAGCCTTCTCAGATCTGGGATGAGCATCCTCCACCCAGATCCTCCATCTTCCAGTAGGCAGGGGTCACACCCACCAACTGCCCCCTGGTGCTGTGAATCCCATCAACAGCCAAGACCCAGAGACTATAAAACCCAGCTCCTGGACATCTTATTACCTCATTCTTACTTTGGACAACCTGGCAGGCTACCGAATGTAACCTGCCCACACGGCAGAGTCTGGCAAACTCCCCATGGTGTACCAGTAACAATGATGGGTATCATTCTGCTAACCCTGAAAGATTTTAAAATCGCAGGGCTAGGACAAAGGAGACGTTACTGGTGCCTGCTCAAGGCAATCGACGAACAACATGATGATCATATTGTGATCATGACGTTCATTTAACTTCATTTAAACACCGTGGTTCCACTCTAGGGGAAAAGGGAACTCAGATAGAGAAAGGAGCACCAAACAAAAGGTGTTGGGAGGATCCTCCCAGGATGGGAGAAGCATGCTGAAAGTAGACTATAGACCAAACATGATTGCCATTCAATGCCTCTTTTGCAAACCACAACACCCAAAAGGAGAGAGAGAACAAAAGGGAATGCCCTGCCACAGAGGAAGGGTGGGATGGGAGGATGGGGGTGGGAGGGATACCGGGACCCGTGGTGGTGGACAATCGACACTGGTGGAGGGATGGGTGTTTGATCATTGTACAATTGAAACCCAAACACAAAAATTTGTAAATCTACAACTGTACCTCATGGTGTTTCACTAAGAAAAATTTAAAAAATGTAAATGATGGAGAATGGGCACTGGTGGAGGAATGGGTACTTGATCATTGTATAACTGAAACCCAAGCACAAATGTTTGTAAGTCTACAACTGTACCTCATGGTGTTTCACAAATAAATAAATAAATCAATAAATAAACACTGTGGTTCACAGAGTTTTTCATGATACATTTGTTTACAAGTACTCAATATTGCAACACCAATCTAAACACCAATGTGACTTTCCCTTCACCATTGTCCCCATTTTTCCAACCATCCCCCAAACTACACCCTCAGCACATCCAAATAGTTTTTTTTTAGCTTGCTTGCTACAATTAGATGGCTAATGGAATTATCAAAAAATACTTCACACAAAGGAGATATCCTTTCCTCAGAAAGATTTAAATTAAAATAGAAGGACCATAAATTACAAAAAGAAAATGGTGGAAGGTCTTAGGCATTTTGTTGGTGGTGAAGTTATAGCACTGCACTGTAGCACTGTCCTCCTGTTGTTCATCGATTTGCTCGAGCGGGCCCAGTAACGTCTCCATTGTGAGACTTGTTGTTACTGTTTTTGGCATATTTAATACGCCACTGGGAGCTTTCTAGGTGGGTGAGATGCTCTTGGTAGCTTGCCGGGCCTTTCAAGAGGGACGAAGGAATCAAACCCGTGTTGGCCACGTGCAAAGCAAATGCCCCACCTGCCGCTAAGATCCTAAGTACTACATAAATAGACAAAGGATGGAAGAGTTTTGCCACTTTTTTTGCATATCTTAGAGGGATCTAAAATTTGTATTTGAAAAAAAAAAATCTGTACTTGAGGGACCAAAGTGCTGGATGAAGGGAGAGCTCTTGCTGTGCATGTAGCTGACCCCGTTCAAGACCTGGCACCCCATAGGGTCTCCCAAGCACTGCCGGGAGTGATCCCTGAGTGCAGAGGCAGGAGGCAGCCCCGAGCACCCAGGTGTGGTTCCCCAAACCCCCACCCCCTGTAAAAGCAAAGGAAAGAAAGAAAAGAAAGAGGGAAATCTGGGTTTGAGATGAGAATAAAACAGCCAAAGGCCAGGGTTCATGAACACCCAGGGTGGGGCCTCCTGCCAGCCCAGCTCTCACCCTGAACTGGTGGTCAACCGTGTACACCAGCTGTACAATGCCTCCCCCCCCCCTTCCCCGTCGTGGCCAGAGGCAGGAACTGCCTCCTGGTAAGACCCTGAAGTGCTCTGAGTTGGGGGAAGGGCAACCCTGAGATGGGTCAAGGTCAGAGAGGTGAAGGAAGTCATGGGCATCTCGGTGCTCTGGGAGGCTCCTTCGGGGATGGAGCCCCCCTTCTCATCCCTTCTTGTCCAGCAGCAGCAGGCACTTATGCATGGGGGTGCCCCTGAGAAAAGCTCTGTTGTACCAGGAAGAAGGCCCAACCATGAGCAGCAGGGATAACAATTTCCAAGTCAGGGGCCAGGAGCAGTCCTGGACGACTTCTCAGAGAAGGCGGGCTTGGACTGAGACTTGAAGAATTCACACACTCCAGGCAAGGAGACCCCATGGAGTCATGCTGAATGGGAGGACTCGGTAGGGTCAGAGGAGTCAGGGCTGAGCCAGGCCCAGCCCAGACTGGAGACCCGGGGACTGAAGTCAGTTTGGTAAGGGGTGGCTGTCATTTTGTTTTTCCATCTGGGCCGCTCTAAGTCCCGGGACTGGAGGGTCCATCTCAGCGGTGCTGGTGGGGACCGAGTGGTGCCAGGGATGAAGCCCAGACCTCACGCAGAACTGAGGAGAACCTTAGGGGTCATCTGAGCTCAGACTCCTCCAGCCTCCACTTCCTGGAAGGCAGCTGGGCACTGGCTAGTGCTGCCTGCCGGCCCTGCCGTCTGTTTTCCTTCGTGATCAAATAGTGAACCCCGGAGACAGCGGTCAGTCTGATGGGCTGGACAAGCTCGGCCAGACAGTGGGACCCAACAAGCAGCAGAGAATAGAAAGTCGGGTGTTGGATTGTGTGCAGACACTGCTGGGCCCCGGGAAGTCTTTGGGCAAGAGTCACCTCGAGTCAGGGTGGTCCGGGGGCCAGCCCTGGACACTCACACCAGCTGGGCCTGGCTCTACAGTGCTCCCTACTGGGGAAAAGGCCAAGATCTCAAGGACTGGGCAGTCCCCATAGCACCTGGGGGCTTAGGATGTAAAGTGGTCAGTGAGGGCCCCCTCTCTGGAATCCCCCCTCTGCCCAAGCCTTCCCTCTTCCAGCACAGGTGAGGGTGGGGTCTTGGCTGTGGGCGACCCACACCTCCCATCCTCTCACCAGCCAGTTTCATGGTCAACCCACCACTGACCATTGTGTGCACTGGAATTTGGGGCCAGCCCTGTTCTGGTCACTGCAGGGGGTCTTCCCAGCACGTGAGATGCTGTTTTTTTTCCTCACAGCCCTCGTGGCTCTTTGGGCTTAGCACACTTGCACAAAAACCATAAAAGTATCATTACTGCACTCATATTACCTAAAATACAATTTAAAAATTGGGCACACATGAAAATTTACTTTACATGTAGTTATTTTTCTTAAATAAAACCTGTAATTTGAAAATTAGTAAAATATATAAGCAATTTTCTTTTGTTTGTGAAGACTGAAAAATGTATAAATGCACACATATGTGGCTATAATTTCTGATGATATAACCCAATGAAATTTGGAGATGTGGGAAAGAGTGATGGTAACATCCTGCTTCTCCCTACATTTTCTTGTTAGCTTTTTGATGCTTTTATAATCTGTTACTATGGCTACACTTGTGGGAATGCCAACTGGTCCAGACTTTTTGAAAAACAATATGAACATTTCTCAAAAAACTAGAAATTGAGCTTTCATATGAACAAGCAATACCACTTCTAAGAAAATTCCCTGTGTACCCATTTTTACCATGGTTATTTAAATTACTTAGATAAGATCACTTTAGGTGAAAATATCTCTATGGTTTGTTTCCTTTGTCAGGAGTGTGTGTGTGTGTGTGTGTGTGTGTGTGTGTGTGTGTGTGTGTGCGTGCGTGCGCTCTTCTATTTGTGTTGCATTATCTTCTTGATTACAGAGAAGAACTGATCAAGATTCTGACGTTTCTGATGTTTTTGCTACAGAACTATTCTACCAGGTCCAGTTGAGTTTACAGTGCTAATATTTCCAATTTGAAACCTTAAATTTAATTTATAAGAAAATATTATATCCATTACAAAGACAGAGCGCTATAAAACAGCTTTATAGAGTTAACAGAATATTTAAGGGAATGAATTATCCTTAAAGACAAAAGATTTCCAATAGTTTCCCATGTTGGGTTAATTGTGGTCACCAACTACCTGGTTCTCACTGTGTTCCCTTAGTGAAACACAGAAATGACTTCTTCATGGAAACTGGACGCTAAGTAAGGAAATAAAACTGCTGACTTTTTTGAAGGCGTGCTGAGGCAGGAACAAGAAAGATAGCACCCAGGGCTGCAGTTGTGAGGATCTTCAAGGCCAATATTGACGTGGGCATCCCTGGGGGGATCTGACTTCCAGCTCCTCTCAACCCTCTATTCCCTGAGAAACCTGGGCCATCCCCTGAGACCACAGTGAAAACGTGTGAAGGAAAGAAACAATAGGTTCCAGTTTTCAGATTGTTTTATGGTTTCTCAAACTCAATAGGATCTATGACATGCTCTGATCGTTACATCAATTCTTCATTAGAGAACCATGGCCTCCTTTCATCTCCTGTGAAAAAGGATAAATAATTCATGGCTACACTACTCAGGGGTCTAGAAGACCTGGAAATAGAGGTGTGGGGTTCCTCTGAGTCCACTTTCCCCATCTTCTTTCAGTTCCACTTCCATTGCGGCTCCGGTTTCTGAGCAGCCACGGGCCTTCATACGTCACCCCTTCCCAGGGCCTTTTCTTCTTCTCCCTGAGCCTCTAGGCCCTGGGGAGAGCACAGATTCGGTATTTGACAGGGGCAACAGTGAGGCCCATCCTGAACTTCTGGCTCATCTGCTCATTGTCTGGGGGCCTGAAGGTAAACTTCTGCATGAGCGAAGTGAAGAAAACAAACAACTCAGTCCTAGCCAACTGTTCTCCAAGGCATGCCCGCTTTCCTGAAAGACAAAAGCAAAACTCAAGTGAGGCTCAGTAAAGTCTTTCACCGCTTCCTGTGAGTCCTGCAGGAGGAAGGGCCTGCTCTAGGCTTTGTGTTAGGGACTCTGACAACCACCTGGGTTGATCAAAGATAGAAGGTGGAAGTCCAGAATCCCAACTCTGATGCCTATGGTCAGGGGGAAGGATTAAGTGTGAGACCAGAGAAGGAGCTTTGCCTTTTTATATTTCAAGCTGAAAAGGTTCCAAGCATCTATAACTCGAAAGCTGACAAGCAAACTACAAAATATCCCTCTAATCTTTGCCTGGAAGGAGCATAGGAAGTTAGTGCTATCTCCTCACACATCTGTACAGACTAAACTGCAAAAGGAATCACTGTAACATCCAGATAAGAGGGAAAGCAGAAAAGCATCCCTTCAGATAAGTATTTTATTACTTTTCTGAGAAATACCTAGGAGCATTACTTTTGGATATGACATATCACAAATTAATTTTTTTAAATGATCTTTTATCTCTCTGTGTAATTTATTATCCATGTACCTATGTTTCTCTGTATCTTGTACTTAGGTATCTTATATATCTATCATCTAAATACGAATCCCTTCCATGACCTCTGATTCCTATCCAGTGCACAGGCTTCATTCAATTCTCCCTTTCCCTATTTTCCTTCATGTACTTTGCAGGCATATAGGGATTCCCTGGCAATGTGCATTTTGGAAAAAATTAAACAGGATGTGATTTAAAGAAGTTGCTCTGTCACCAGCACTAAAGTAATCCAAAGTTATAAAGGATGGACCCCCTTTATGGATATAAGAACCAAGGCCAGATAAGACTTAGTAGCTCTGCACTCTGGAAGGTTGGCTTCCTGCCAAGTCCCTTGGAGAGAATCCTAGTTGAGTAAAAAAGTTATGAAAGAACATGAAAATACGCTACCAAGAGTTCCAAGCTTTTCTGAGTGTTTTCCAAAAATGGGCAATATACCCTCTCCTCGGGAGGTAATATTGGGACAATCTAGGGACAATAGTAATAGTCACTGGTGCAATTTTGAAGGTGATTTTGGGAATCACATGATCCACGAGTTCTTGAGTGTGTGTGTGTGTGTGTGTGTGTGTGTGTGTGTGTGTGTGTGTGTGATGGTGGTTGTGGGGTGCTTCTCGGTGTTCACTTAAGGAAGGTAGATTTTGAGTGGTTCTGTTCTCTCTTGAGAACGGTAAATACTTTAAATGCTTTTAAAGAAAAAATACAGCTAAAGCAATCTAATAGAGCTGGAAAGTTAATAAAAGAGATGAGGCTCTTGACTTGCATGTGACTAACTCATGTTCAAATTCTCTGAAGCACATATGGTTTCTAGAGCAATGCCAGTGGTCATTCCTGAGTACAGAGCCAGAAATAGGACCTGCATACCCCTAAGTGTGGCTTGGAAACCAAAACAACAATAAAACAAAATAAATCAATCTATTAGTATCTTTACTAAGCTGCATAATATAATTAGGAGAGAGAATGTTCCATAGGTTTCACAAGGAATAAACATTGGCTCTTTGACAATGAGGTTAGTAATAGCACACCCTTGGTTTCAGGAAGAACCAGTAAATAAATTGGTTCATATACACAAAGGTGCACTACTTAGCACTAAGGGAAGATGAAATAGTGCAATTGCCTAGAGAGTATCCAAGCTGAGTGAAGTCAGAGAAAGGACAATACAGAATTATTTTTCTCATATGTGAAATATAAAGAAACAAACTAAGGGAACAATTGGACAATGATAACAGATCCTGAGACTCAGCCTAAAGAACTATGTCTGCCAAAGGGCTGGACCCGAAGTGTGGGAGGGTCTTTGAGACATTGGTGGAGGGACAAAGACACATTCTTTTCTTTTGAATGTCTAATGCTGTTGTATACTGTAAACTGTAACGCATTATGAATAAATGGTATCAAAATAAAAGTGGAAGAAAAATACAAATAAATTAAAAGACCTTGAAAAAAATCCCTTCAGAAGAAGAACAAAAATAAATGAATGCAAAATAAAACCTCATGCGAGTTATTGCCAAGTTGGACCCCTATTCTGAATGCTCTAGTAACAAAACTTTGATTATAGTGTTGCAGATACTAGATGTTCTCATTCTTTTACTTTACTAATTTTATGGATTAAATAAAGTTTCTTATTATTTCAGCTAGCATGCACAACTTTGAATAATAATTTATAATCTTAATCTTAAACTCCCTCCTTTACAAAGGCCGATACTTATTCTCTTGTATTGGGGTGATTAAGTAGTGTATCCTATATAAAGAGTTTTGAGAATTAATAAATGTGCTTCTATTCCTACTAAAAAAGTAATGTTTCCAAATTGCAGCCAGGGTTACAGGGAATTTGTTGCCTGTTGTTGCTTCTACTAACTGGTTATCAGAGGAGAATGAGGTTGAGATTGGCAGAGTTATGTAGCTGAGTTGTAGATTTTGGAGCAATAATACATATTTATAGTTTTGTTTGTTTGATTGATTTAATGAATTTATTTATTTGGGAGAGGGCCGGGGCGACAGCTGGCAATGCTCATGGATTAATCTTGCTCTGTACTCAGGGATCACTCCCGGTGGTGCTCCTGGGCTGTTGGAGATTGGACAAAGTGTAACCACATGCTAAGCAGACACCTTAATCGCTATAATATTTTCCAGACTCTGCATTTTTATTTTAAGATAGTGAATATGATTAGATAGTTTGTTATATACCAATATGTTAATTGATGTATATTATTTAAACTAAGTGATTATTAAGTGTAAGGGTCTTAAGAGATGAGGTTAAATATTACTGTTGAGTGAGAAGGTGAGTTCTATTCTAGTTTTGCTAGAAAGAATACTAGAGTGGAAGTATGAAAATTAAGTCCTACGACCTATTCTGCCAATTCCTTGGTTAAAAGATTTTGCATAAAAAATAACTTTAGTCATTCTTAGTTTTCATAGATGAAGAGAAAAGATGCCAGCCCATTTTCTGTCCAACTATAGCAAGTTGCTATTAGGTAATGAGGTAATTTGTTTGCAAGTGAAATTTGTGATCCAAATGGAGTAATATAATTGTCATTGGCAAAGCACCAGTAATAGAAGTGGAAATATACAACTGAAACACTGAGCTGCAACTCAAACTTCAAGCTCTTAAAAAATACAGTAGAAATGACATCCGCACTTGTATGTTTATTGTAGCACTATTTACAATAGCCAGAATCTGGAAAAAAAATGAGTGCCCAAGAACAGATGACTGGTTAAAGAAAGTTTGGTACATTTACACAACGGAATACTATGCAGCTGTTAGAAAAGATGAAGTCATAACATTTTCATATAAGTGGATGATATTCATGAAGAATATCATGCTAAGAGAAATGAGTCAGAGAGAGAGGGACAGACATAGAATGACCGTACTCATTTGTGGAAAATAAAGTAACATAATTGGGAGACAAACACCCAAGGATAGCAGAGATATGGGCCAGGAGGATTGCTCCACGACTTGGAAGCCGGCCTCCCATGCTGGGAGAAAAGGCAACTAGGATAGAGAAGGGATCACTAAGAAGATGATGCTTGGAGGGCTTGCTCGGGATGGGAGATGCAGGCTGAAAATAGACTATGGACCAAACATGATGGCCACTTAGTACTTGTATTGCAAACCATAACACCGAAAAGGAGAGAGAGAGAGAGTAAAAGGGAATGTGCCTGCTATAGAGGCGGGAGGTGGGGGGAGGATGGGGTGGTGATGGTGGGAGGGATACTGGGAACATTGGTGGAGGAGAATGGGCACTGGTGGAGGGATAGATACTCAGTCATTGTATGACTGAAACGTAATCACAAAAGTCTCTAAGTCTGTAACTGTATCTCATGGTGATTCATTTAAAAAAAGAAAAAAAAAAACCCTTAAAGCTCTTATATTCAGAGACTAAAGGAATTTCTAGGTCTCGTATAGGCCACCATATCAAGAAATCACTTGTTCAGTGTGACAATGAACCATATGAATAAAATCAAAGATAGTTTAATCATAACCAGTGAATCCTATAACATAATGGGAAAGCACAGCACCTCGGATTCAAATTCTAGTTCCTCTCTTTCTGAGTTATGCATTGTCATAAAAAACATGCTCCTGTATCAGAAAATTTTTTTATAGTTCATTTAATGACAGGCAAACTAGCATGCATTCTATAATATGGGCTCTTTGTAGCTATTTCTTTTTAGTTTAAAGCAAAATTTTAAAATTCATCGATTCTTCGATTGCCTCGAACAGGCCCCAGTAATGTCTCCTTCATCCTAGCCCTGAGATTTTTTTTAAAAAGTGCCATATTCAAGGCTCTTTGAGAGTTAGGAGAATGAGACCCTTCATTGTTACTGGTATTTGGCATATTGGGTACGCCACGGGGAGTTTGCCAGACTCTGCCATGTGGGCAGGTTACATTCAGAAGCCTGCCAGTTTGTCCAAAGTAGGAATGAGATGATTAGATGTTCGCGGCCGTGCGCTTCTGGGAGCTGAGTCTGATCATCTCTGGATCCTGACAGTTGTTGGGGTTACACGGCAGTTGGTGGGTGTAACTGTCTAGCTACTAGCAGGTCCAGTCCCAAACCGTGCAGGCTTGGAGATCTCAGCCCTGGGTCCCACACACCTGGGTTCCTCTGCCAGTTATTTTATGCATGAGGCTCATCTAAGTGTGTGGAGAGTGGTCCCAGCATGGCCTTGGCTGGGGCCTGGAGGTCTTCAGCTGTTGGACCCTGGTGAGGATAGTTAGGCACAGGGTAGGAGACTCTGCCTTGTTCTCTCCCAGGAGCTTGGTGTGATAATCTCTGGATCCTAGCCATTGTTGGGGTTACACGGCAGTTGGTGGGTGTAACTGTCTAGCTACTGGCAGGTCCAGTCCCAAACTGTGCAGATAATTTTTAAATTATCAAATTTAATTTTAAAATTTTAAAGGAAAATTTTAAAATTAAATTTGATAAATCTAAATTAAATTAAAATTTTAATATTAAATTAAAATTTAATTTGATAAATCTGGTTAATACTAATTTTAACTCTGCTACATAAGTATTATGACTTTAGTTGCCATTGCTAATTCCTTTCAAATTCCTTATCTCTAAGTGATAGGAATTTGAACCTGGTGAAAATATGACATGTTTGATAAGAGTCCTGTTTTTTTTTCTTTTCTGCTTCATTCATTCTTAAATACTCAGAACTAATTGCCTGGTGCTTAATAATTGTCTGACAATATCCATAGAGTGAAGGAACTGGGTTTTACTTAAATAACCTATATGAGGTATCTAAATCATTGCCTGAAATTTACTACAAATTTCTTTTATTTGTTTCTTAATGTAAGTAAAACAGTTCTTCCATAAATGGGTGGACTTACATATGTAAGAGTGAGAAATTGTCTTTTGCTCATGTTGTGTTGTGAGTCATATACATATATTAACTAGAATTGTGAAAGGAATTAAAATGTAAAAAGACAAAATGAATCCATGTAGAGAAGACATATAGAGAAAACTCCTATATTAATTCCTGAATGCTCAAAACAAGAAGCAATGACTCCTGTTCTTGATCCCTCTCCATCTGGTTCTATGCGAATGAGGCATTTTTAAAATGCTCTAAAGATGGCAAATATCCAGTTTTCAACATGTGCAAAAGATCAGGTCTGAATTTCTGTTCCCAGTGTTCAGGAGAACTGAACTGAGTGAGACTGAAATCTGCATCAGAGGCAATTGAGGGCCTAGGATGTCAGGCAGCCTAAAACAATGCTTAGCAAGAGGAGTCAGGCTGGGCAGGGGTCTCTGGACACATTCCAGCTAAACCAAAGAGTCCCAGGGAGGAGAACAGGGAAGGGTTGTGAGATGAGCTCTGGAAGATCCTTCTATGATGAATTACAACTCACCTATGGAGAAAGGCAGGAAGTCTTCCCTTTTCTTAAATTTTCCATTCTCCAGAAAATGTTCTGGATTGAATGTGTCAGGGGTGGCCCACTCCGCAGGGTCTCTGTGCAGAGTTATCAGGTTGGTTAAGACCAAGGTCCCCTGGAGAAAGCACAGAGTCAGGTACATTGGACAGGACATAACCACCCGTATGTTCATAACAGTCTTATCCACAACAGGCAGAGCACAAAAATAACCTAAATGCGGGCTGGAGCGATAGCACAGCTGTAGGGTGTTTGCCTTATAAGCGGCCAACATGAAACCAAACGTGTTGTCAGGGTTCAAACCCTCATCTGTTTCATGCAAGGAAGGTGCCCTGGTTACTGTACTTCAATACCTCCCTTCTTGTTTTAATATAGACTTATGCAGAATTTTGCATGTTAAATTTGACATGTTCTGCCAACTCACAGAGAAGGACTTCATGGCAAAACTGGACAGAGAACTCTGCCTGCTGTATCTGACAAGGATTTGCCTATATATTTCATATAGAAAATTCTGAATAATTTCACAGCCAGAAAGCCAGTCTTTAACTAAAGCCAGTCTTTAATTTGTCCTAGGAATCTCCTTCGTTTTCATAATAGTCATTAATAGAAAGTTAACTCATGTTCTAAGATAACATGTGTAAAAAAAATCCCCTTTGGTGTCAGATCTTGTATAAAATATATATCTTCTTTTAAATGTGAACGCTTCAGAATGAGAATCTATCTTTCAGATCCTTAGCTTTTAAAAGGTGAGCTTGACAAATGAGACTTGAAATCTCTAGTTACCTTGGGAATATGATATCCATTCAGAGTGGTATCTGCTGCCGCTGCCCTGGGCACATTCAATGGGATGATGTTTCCCATTCTTTGCACCTCATGGACCACTGCATGGGTGTAGGGCATGGACTCTCGAAGGGCCATGCTTGGCTGCTGCATCTGGCCAATCACTCTGTCAATCTCAGCATGTACTTTTTCTGGAAAGAAAGATACAGTTTTATTATTTTACTACTCCATAACTTCTCTTGATTCTACTTACATTAGGAGCCAGAATCACTAGAATCAAAATGGTTAAAATTATAGTCTTCCATATAAACTCTAAATTCTGTAGGAGGAATATAAGAGTAGAAAGTGGACCCAGGTATAGGGAAATGCTCCTGGTATACTTTGTTCTATAACATTTTTACTTCAAAGTATATTAACTCCGGGAACCTATTTCCTCTTGTGAGTGCAGATGAGTATACTTCTATTGTAAGAACGATTTGTATTCATAAATGCTGATTTATATGAGCAACCGTACAATAAAAGTACTATTTTTGACTTGAAGTCTTATTTTTTCCTACACTAACAAGATTTTATTTCACTGGGCACATACTTTTCCAGCTGTATTTCCCAGATTTCCAAGTGACCTGGAACTAAGTTTTGACTGTTAGAATATACTTAGCAGGGATATTTAGTACTTAGAACACACCCATAAGGAAGGACATGGGGATGTTGAAATGGCATCCCCAATGCTGAGCCATTTGTAAGTGTTGAGTTGAATATCATTCTAAAGACAAGTAAAAGTTGAAAGAAAAAAGGCTCTGTTGAGACTGCCTAGGTGAGTTTTCCCTTAAGAGTGAAATACATTCATATTAAAATATAAACAAACAAATCCCCTGTCTATTAAAACTTATTAGTGGTGGCAAAATACAAATAGCACAAAATATATAATCATAACCACTTTTAAGTTATAATTTAATGGTGCTAAATAGTAAAGTAAAGTAAAGGCCCTCCCGTTGATCGTCGATTTGCTCGAGCGGGCCCAGTAACGTCTCCATTGGAGACTTTGTTGTTACTGTGTCTGGCATATCGAATACTCTCGGTAGCTTGCCGGGCTCTCCGAGAGGGGCGGAGGAATCGAACTCGGGTCGGCCATGTTGGCCGCTTGTAAGGCGAACGCCCTACCGCTGTGCTATCGCTCTGTGCCTCTAATCTCCAGAACTTTATTAAATGTGCACAACTGAATCCCACTCCCAATGATGCTATTCTAACTTTTTGGTTATCATGATTTTTTTCTTTTTCCTATGAATTTGACTGCCACGTAAGTCATCCAAATGGATTACACAGTATTTGAAATATTATACTGAGTTATCTAATGTAGTTTAATGCCTTCAAGTGCCATTCATGTTGTAGCATGTGTCAGAAATTTCCTTCCTTTTTTAAGCTAAATAGCATTTCATAGTATGGATATACCATGTCCTGTTTATCATTAAGTCATCAATAGCACTTGGACGGCTTCCACTTCTTAGATATTATGAATAATATGGCTGTGAAATTTGGATTTTAAAGCTATTTTTATTCTGGCATCCTATGATAGAAGTCAATTCCATACCCTAATTTTGTGAATTTTAAATTTAAAATAAAATTATTCCCAGTTTCAAATACACTTTATATCACAATTTCCATAACAAATTTTAAAAATTGAATAGTAGTTTACATGACCACATTTCAGTAATGAAACATACAATTTCACACATGTTAAAATTCACCCCTCTGCACTTTCACATCTCTTCAAAGTATAGGTTCCTGCACCACAACCACCACATAAGTACCCTGACTTTGAAGATGCTCAAAGGTGAGATCACATGCTTTGCTTTTAGGCAATCAGGATTTGAAACCTGGCATGGCATGATTCTCTGAGTAGCACCAGAAGTAGACTTGAGCACCAACAGATGTGGCTGCCAAATAAAAACAAACAGAAAGTACCAACATCCCTCCGTGACATTCTGTTGGCCTCTCCCCATTTCAATCTCTCCTTTTTCCCATCAGCTAAGTACATCTCATGTATAAGCGCATCCTCAGTACAAGTCAAATACTTAAATTAATTCTAACTTAACTTTAGGGAAATAAATTTGGCATTGATTCACTAAATTGATTTTATATTCCATCAATAAACTACTCTTATTAATAACAAAGTAAACCCAAGTTGACTGACCTCCACTAAACCTCCTAACAGATCCCATCTCTCAAGTGCTCAAATTGCTCTAGAATCTGGAGACAAAAGAATAATTGCTAGCTGCCACATCTTTGAATGGGCTGCAGTTGACTGGAAATGGTATTATTTGTGTGAAGAGTACGTCAATAGTGATGCATTAGGGCAAATCCAGAAGGCAATGTCAGTCTTCCATATAGGAGTAAGGAAACATTTCAGAAGAAATTATAACTGAAGAAACATTTCAGAAGAAATTATATGCATGCAGAGCTAATAGAGAAATGAGAACAATTCATACAGGTAAAGGAAAGAACAAACATAATGATTCTTGGTGGGAGAAAATGACATGTAGCTCTGGTACGTCACCATGCAGTGGGGTTGAGAAGAGGTCAGATAATCAGGAAGAGACACATCAGAGGACGTGTGAACTAGACTAAGAGATTTGTCTACATGATAACTTCTCTGTAAGACAATGGGAAGTCATTATATAAAACGAGGGAAGGCTAGGACACAATTTTTGTGAGAACAGAACTGTTTCCTGGAGCTTCATAGAATGCCAATTTTGCTTCTTTTCTTTCTCTCTTTACTTCTTTCCTTCTGTCTCTCTTTCCTTTCCTTCTGTCTCTTTCCTTCTTTCCTTCTCTTTCCTTCATTCTTTCCTCCTTCCTTCCTTCCTTCCTTCCTCCCTCCCTCCCTCCCTCCCTTCCTTCCTTCCTCCCTCCCTCACTCCCTTGTCCCTTCCTCCTTTCATTCCTTCCTTCTTCCTCCCTTCCTCCCTTCCACCCTTTCTCCCTTCCTCCCTTCCTCCCTCCCTCCCTCCCTCCCTCCCTCCCTCCCTCCCTCCCTCCCTTCCTTCCTCCCTCCCTCCCTCACTCCCTTGTCCCTTCCTCCTTTCATTCCTTCCTTCTTCCTCCCTTCCTCCCTTCCACCCTTTCTCCCTCCCTCCCTCCCTCCCTCCCTCCCTCCCTTCCTTCCTTCCTTCCTTCCTTCCTTCCTTCCTTCCTTTCTCTCTTTATTTCCTTTCTGTTTGGGTTTGATTGGGGTAGGGGGTTGTGGAGGGGCACACCCAGCTATGCTCAGATGTTCCTCGGGAACTACTCCTGCTGGTGGGAGACCATATGAGATACTGGAAATCAAATCTAGATCAGTTGTGTGCAAAAAAGCACCCTCTGAACTGTTAATCTAGCTCCACAGTGGCAACTCTAATTTTCCTGCTGAACTCGGAGTTTTCTGAGGAAAGAGATCCTTGGATGTATCTGTCTCATGTACGAAATAAATCCTGACTGAAAACTTGAGGAATGTGGTTGTTCTCAAGTCTGCACAAATGGTCTCCTGACCTAATGACCTGCCTTTCCTTTCCTCCAGGGTCTCTTCTGTCCCAGGAGACCTGTTGCTGTCCTGGCCCGGGTACTCTTTCAGCCCTGCTCACCTTGGATGTCTGGGTAGAGAGCCATGTAGAGAAGACCCCAGCGCAGTGTAGTTGAAGTTGTCTCAGTGCCAGCAGTGAAGAGGTCCAGGGTGGTGTAGATGAGGTTTTCTTCATCGAAGCTGGAAGAGGTGTCACCTTTATGCTAGAAAGCACAACGCTTTATGGTGTATTTATAGGGATCTAGGTTATCACAACTCCTGGGGTGTCAGCCTGGGAGTGAGAATGGAAATAAACAGCCTCAGGAGAGCACTTTCCCCATTGGTCTTTCTAGAAGGGCTATCTTCCGTATCATCCCATTACAGGAGCAGGAAACTTGGATGGAGGAAAATCAGGACAACTTTTCATGACTCTGTACTCATGGCAATGCTTGGGAGACTACAATCGGTGAAGGGGGCAGGGTTGGTGGATGTTTAGGGGTCACATCAAGAAATCCTGTGCTCAGGAATTATTTCTGGCAGTGCTCCAGGGACTGTATGCAATGCTCAGAGTTGAATTTGGGTCAGCTGCATGCAAGGCAAGCCCTACCCGCTGTACTATTTTGCTCCACTTCCTTGTAAAAGGATTTGAAAAGTGGTTGCTCACTAGTAATGCAAGCATCCTAACCCCATACTTTCTTTGGTCCTTCCAAACAACTATTTTTATACTTTTTACGCTGTTTCTTTACTCATAGATACTAGTATAGAAGAAGTTGCTATTGCAGGTGATAGACTTTACTTCCAATAATAGTCACATAAACTCTTTATTCTTCACTGTCCTGTTTTATAAAACATAAGTATATACACAAACACCCCTCAAAGATGGCATTTGTAAATCACACAAGATGCCATTTTTTAACAAATTCAATGAAATAACATATTCACATCTCGTTTCATCATGAATAAACTGAATTTCTCTCATATCTTACTATTTTTGTGTTTTCATTTAAAGATTTTTTTTCTAAATAATATTCCTTGATTCTGTAAGCCAACCCCATCAGCTTTTTAGCTTTCCACTGGAAGCTTCAATTTACCATATTTCTATTAAGTAGTCCCATACTTCCACAGAAGATAGTGAGTGAAATCTCACTCCTCTGATAAAAAATTAATGCTTCTATTAATGTGGTATTAGGAAAGTAAAATAAGAGGGAATATGGGAAAAATTAAAATATTTAGGAATCTTTCAGAGAACAGGTAATTTCATAGTTTCAGGGTTGGAAGGATAGCACAGCTGTAGGGCGTTTGCCTTGCATGCGGCCAGCCCGGCTGACCCAGGTTCGATTTCTCCACCCCTCTTGGAGAGCCTGGCAAGCTACCGAGAGTATCTTGCCCACACAGCAAAGCCTGGCAAGCTCCCCGTGACGTATTTGATATGCCAAACACAGTAACAACAAGTCTCACAATGGAGACGTTACTGGGCCCACTCAAACAAATCAATGAACAACAGGAGGACAGTGCAGTGATATATATATATATATATATATATATATATATATATATATATATATATATCATTGTCCTATAGCACTGTAGCGCATATATATATATATATATATATATATATATATATATCTCAGAGGGATTCTTCAATTTCAGGATGGATATCCAACTTGGCTTTCCCCTTAATTTTCTATAAAGGAGAAAGATGAAATATATTGAAGTTAAACTGTAGTATGTGACCTAGTAATTTTGTTTTTCCCTGGTAATTGAAGGTGGACATAGGTAGCATGAATAATAATAAAGCAGTGATTTAAGGATAATCGCTGTTTTCCCTTGTGTGTACAGCTTCTTTAGATGAGAGTAGATGTAGAAAATAATAAATGAATCAATAACTTCACTCCAGAATCAAAGTCCCAGCCCTACAACACCTTAACTTTAGCCCAGTGAAATTGGTTTTAGATTCTTGTCCAGAGTGTAAGAAAAAAAAATTTGTGTCTTAAGCCACTGAGTCTGTGGTAATTTGTTGCCACATAAATAGAAAACTAGTTTGCCCCACTTGCTCTTTATGAACAACATTGGTTTCCTCACCTTTTCTATTTCATTCAGATAAGCATCAATAAAGTCTCTTGGTTCATCAGGATTCCAATCTCTCTTGTGGTTTTTAATCATTTCAGCAACAAACAATTTCAGATTTTCCCAGTCATTAAAGAGTGTTCTATGAGGTCCAGGTAATAAATTCATTAATGTTGGAAACATATTATAGAACTATTTGAGGAAAAGAAAACAATAAATAACACAATATAGTATAATATTTCAAAACTTTAAGACAATAAAATATCTGCTTTCCATTTCTTTTACTTGCTCATGTTTAAATTAGAGTAATGATTGGCTCTTCTCATCTCTCTCCCACTCTTTGCATGTTACTTGAAGAACACTACAGCATTCTACCATAGGTAATGTTGGCTTCAAATATATGGAAGTACTGTTATCTTTTATTTCTATTTTATAAGAGCTTGAGGGACATATATAGTTTGTCTTTTTTTTGAAATTTGGTAGAATTCACTAGTAAACCTATTTTCTTATTACTTGTAGAGTTTCTTAAATTGAAAAATCCATTTGAATTTCAAATGAATTTGCATTGAAGTCAATTTAAAATAATTGCTCTTAAGGCCTTGGAGATAACACAATGGGCGAGAGTACAAGCTTTTCCTTCAGGATGACTGGTTTTGATCACTTCTACTGCATGCTCACGCTGAGTAACAGACTTACGTTATACCCCACTATCACTGGATGGGCCCAAACATCAGAAACATTTTTTTTAATGTTTAGTTCATAAAAAGGTACATTTTATATGTGTTTGTAATCTGATGTGATATCCTACTTAATCAAGACATAGAATGAGTATATCTTTACCTGACACCATGTAGAAGCTTCCAGATATACGACTTCATCCAGCATCCTTAGAAGTCCCTGGAATTTTTCATCCTGGTACTCAAAGCGTTCCCCAAAGGTGATAGAACAAATAATATTGGAAACTGCATTGTTGATCTTGAAATGAGGGTCAAATGGCTGTCCTAGAGGTTAAAAAAAGTGGTGGATTATTTATTTTCTTAAAAAGAGTCCATATGTCCTAGAATATATGGAGTAAAGAATCATGCATGAGACTCTGGATAATGTATCCCACAGAGTATGATCTAGAACAAGCACTCAGTCAATGTCTAGAAAGTAAAACAGAGTTTAAGTGAATAATGTGGTTAATGTTTTTCTTCTTGTGCTTAATTTGAAAGCACTATCAGGACAAGATATAAATAGAGTTCACTATTGTACCCTTTTGCCTTGTATAGCATGGGCACAGGAAAAGAGCTTAGGCAGTTGATAAGCATCTACTTAGTGGCTCAATGCGTGCCACGTCTTGCACCTGCTCTATTAAGCACTCACCATTCTCCTCTTTTATCAGTTGGATTAGGTAGTAGGCCTCCTCTTGAATACGTTCCTCTAAGCTCTTCTTTCCTAAACCGAAGTTCCTCAATGTTGTCAGGGTGAACCTTCTTTGCTCCTTCCATGTCTTGCCACTGGACATGACCAATCCTTGGAAAAGAAAAACAAAATGACAGATAAAAAAGTGGATACTTGATCATTGTATAACTGAAACCCAAGCACGAAAGTTTTTAAGTCTACAACTGTACCTCATGGTGTCTCACTAATAAAATAAATAAATAAATAAATAAAATTTTTTTAAAAAGCTATAACAATGAAAATTTTAAAAGGTGAACCTATTATTTGGTGGTTAAATATTTCAAAGAAAAATTAGTAAGCACCTAAAAACTCTGCATTGCAGTACAGAAAAAAGAATCACGTTTTTCATTTAGAATTGTATTTAACTATTTATTTACTTCAAGGATTCATGAAAAACTATTTTAGTAGACTAGAAGGTTCAAGATACTCTGTGGGTTACAGTCTTAATGATTAATCATAGGGAGAAATTAGGAATTTATGTGACAATAACATTTGCAAGGTATGGTAGGAAATTTCTGTGAAAGGACAGAAGAAAACAGATCACCATCCATTTTCTGAGATAGAAAACTTGAAAACTCAATCACATGGTACCATCCTCTGAGGAGAAGTAGTTATTTGCTTATGAAAACAACCTGAGTAAGTCCATATAGGACGCATAGTTTCTTCACTATCTCTCTCTACTGAATCTTCTAAGAGGAGGTTTTTGATACTCTTTCTTGACAAGAGTTTAGAATGAGCTTCATTTCTGAGAGCATCAGAATATAAAGCAAGCACTTTTAACTTTGGTCCAGACACTTACCATTTGTCTTAAAGATACGATTGCGGATAGGGGTCACAGGGCGATTAATGAAGTCCTGATTCTTTTCGACAAGGGCTTCTTTGATCAAGGGCAATCCAGTTACAACAACTAAGTATATGTCACCAAAACTCATGCCAAAAACATTTCCATATTTCTTCACCAGCTGAAAAAGAAGTTCAGTAGTCAGAGTTGAATGTGCACATGTCTACATGTGTGTAGCTGGATGGAGGGGGCTTATAGAGGGGGAAGTCTTATGTATGCTGGTATGGAGTTACACCATGATCTGAGGACAAAGCTTCTCCCTGTTCACTTTTCTCCCCTTTGCATCTTGACCCATATTTAATCTGCAACAGAGCATAAATATTCTTTATAAAACATCTCTTCACATGGTCAACTCGAAAAATTGAGTGAGCTCTGTTTCCCTAGAATGAGATAGGAAGCTATTGCCTTCATACATAAACAGGGTCTCCAACTTCAAGAATCCTAGAGAAGGTAAATGAAAAAAATTCAGTGCTGGTCCTCAACTGGGAAAGCTGAGTTATGTTTCATGTAAGTATGGTGTAGCAAGAAGGAACTTTTCAGTTCCTTCTTCTGACACCTGTTTAATTGCAAGAAATGTTCCTCCAGGCTCCACATGTGTTAGATTATAAGGAATCAACTATATTTTGGGAAACATCAATGGAATCAAGAATCTAGGACTGGAATATGTGTGACTCTTGACTGCATGGGTCACTAGTGGGGCCTTGACAAGTTGCTTCATTCTTTCTGAGCCGTGGATCCCCAGCCACAGAAGGGTGAGAACCATACATTTACACAAGAGTGCTGTGAAGAATAAGAGCAAAATGTGAAAGGCACTTTGTTTTCTGGTGCCTGGCGCACAGCCACATGCATCTCTGGAATAAGCCCTGTGAGTAAAGGGACATGGAAGCACTGAAGACAACAAAGAATGAGACCCCATCCCATGGCAGGACATGTGGAGGAAGGCTCTACAGTCAGGATGGCCCTGGGTGCCATTTTGAGCACCTCCACTTTATATCTCACTTAATCTCACAACCACCCTGGGGCAGCAAAGCTTTTCTTGTCTTTCAGAAAAAGGCAGTGAATGGTAGACAAAGAAATATAGGCAAAGTGACAAAACAGTTGAGGGTCAGAGGCAGTCTCTTTGTAAGTTGTGAGGTCAAGAATCAGCATGTGATGTGGCTTCCAATTCTTCTGCCATTTAAAAAAAACAAAGCCATTCACCTTAGAGGTAGAACTAGAGAATGAGACTGCAGGTTGAGGGATGGGGGATGGGAGAAAGAGTAAGAGAGAAACAGAAGGAAAAGTGCGTCAGAATTTTTTAAACATGCAGATAGATTGAAGAGGATTTGTTGAGGTGACTAGGTACTGGTCAAACTTTTTTTTTTTGATCAAACTATTTCTTGACTAAGTATGTCAAGCTGCAAATAGCTGCATTCCTTTTCTGATCAGGTATTTCTGTCCTTCCATCTCCACTCCCAAGCACATATGCTTTCCCATATCAGCTCTAGCACTCAGAACTCCATGGTCCCCATCAGAGATTGGGGATTGATTTCAGTATCATTACGCCATCCTGCTCCCATATTCAAGACCAAGCCTGACCTCTAGTCTTCCATTATTTTTTGGGCTAGAGACTGCCACAAATAGGTTTTGTCTTTAGAATAGCATGTCTCTCTTGCTAGGAAGGCTAGAGTCAAGACTCCAACTCAAGATGCTCTAGATATAAGGTGTTCTACCTCTAAGGTGAATGGCTTTTTTAAAAAAAAAATGGCAGGAATGGGTCCGCATAAGGTAAGTAGATTTTCTTATTAATATTTGATGAAATCCTTGATGAACGTCTGATGTTGTCTCACAATTCTTTAGCTTGCTGTGCCAATCATTTTGCCAATTGATTTACATGTAAGTAAATCTAAGGCTTGAAGAATATCTGAGAAGAATTTGTATAGTAAAATGTACTGGCAAAGCACAATTTTATGTATTCTCTTAAAAGACTGATGGAAGGGCACAAAGATGTTAAAATTAAGTTGTTCAAGCATGTAAAACAGTCTTAATATAAGAATAAAAACAGAAAAATTATTGACATTGAGGACATAAAAGACATAATTAATGAGCAAATTTCATCCCAAGAACATAACTCCAAGTGTATATTGAGTATTTAACACACAATAGCACTGTAGCACTGTCCTCCCATTGTTCATCTATTTGCTTGAGCGGGCACCAGTAAAGTCTCACAACAAATCATGAGACTTGATACTGTTTTTGGCATATTGAATACATCACGGGAAGCTTGCTAGGCTTTGCCATGTGGGCGAGATACTCTCGGTAGTTTTCCTGGCTCTCTGAGAGGGGTGGAGGAATTGAACCCAGGTCAGTCACATGCAAGGCAAATGTCCTACCTGCTGTGCTATCGCTCCAGCCACATAATATGTAGCAAAACAAATGGTTAGAATAGACATAAAATAGAATTGTGTACTAGTGAGATTGAAGATTAAACCCTGGTTACTAGAGATGTAGAATTGAGATCAATTCCACATTATCTAATTCCTTAAATTCCAGAGTCAACAAAACAAAAAATGAGAGAAAAAGGAAGAGACTACCAATTTTCTTTTTTAAAATTTTTATTAGTGAAACACCATGAGGTACAGTTGTAGACTTACAAATCCTTGCGCTTTGGTTTCAATTATAAAATGATCAAGCACCCATCCCTCCACCAGTGACCATTCTCCACCACCAATGATCCCAGTATCCCTCCCAACAAACATCTCCCCCCATCCCACCCTGCCTCTGTGGCAGGGCATTCCCTTTTGTTCTCTCTCTCCTTTTGGGTGCTGTGGTTTGCATTGAGTGGGAATCATGTTCGGTCTATAGTCTACTTTCAGCATGCATCTCCCATATTGGGAGGATCCTCCCAACACCTTTATTTGGTGCTCTCTTCTCTATCTGAGCTGCCTTTTCCCCTAGCATGTGCGGCTGGCCTCCAAGCCATGGAGTGAAGCTCCTGGTACTTATCTTGGCTATTCTTGGGTGTTAGTTTCCTATTTTGTTACTTTATGCTCCCCAGATGAATGCAATCTTTCTATGTCTGTCCCTCTCTTTCTGATTCATTTCGCATAGCATGATACTTTCCATGTAGTACCACTTGTATGTAAATTTCATGACTTCGTCTTTTCTAACAGCTACATAGAGACTACCAATTTTTACCCATTAGTAATTTCCTTTGAATTTTCACTAGAAGAGAGAAATTGTGTGCACATGTGTGGGTATATATGCTTATCATTGTATAGGAAAAAGAATGCATTTGGGTTTACACTTCACTAAGGCACAACATCTTTCCCCAATATGTATGCTGTATTTTTCAAATTTCTTGGTTCTATTTCTAATGCTTTCTCTAATTGGCAGTTCAACTAATGGGTATGATTATATTTTATTACAAAGGAGTCTGCAAAGACATATATCAAACATCCAAGAGAGACATTGCTGAGCGTGGGGATGGGTGTAGGTTGGAGAGAAAGTGTGTTAGGAGAAAAGATGCAAAGAGAATAAAACTCACTTTTGAAATTGCATTTTTAAAATATCTCAATGTAGGAGACAGAGCTATACAACCGTAGGTAAGGCACTTGCCTTACACAGGACTGACCTGACTTTGATCCCTGGAGCTCCATATGGTTCCCTGAGCTCCTCCAGTAGTGATCCTTGATCATACAGTCAGAGAAAACCCTGACCACCGTGGCTGTGACCCCTCTTACCCCCAAAGAGATAAAAACAAAGAAGTCTATTATCTAATGGAGCTTTCAGAAAACTGATAATCCTCGTGAAATTATTATTATTGGTAATTTTACTATTATATATGTTTTATTCTAATTACTTAACATATTTTTATGTATATGTAATTTTATGTTATTTGGTGCTAGAAGGGGCTAGAGCGATAGCACAGTGGTAGGGCGTTTGCCTTGCAAGCAGCCAACATGGCCGACTGGAGTTCAATTCCTCCGACCCTCTCGGAGAGCCCGGCAAGCTACCCAGAGTATCTCGCCCACACGGCAGAGACTGGCAAGCTCCCCGTGATGTACTCGATATGCCAAACACAGTAACAACAAAGTCTCCAATGGAGATGTTACTGGGCCCGCTCGAGTAAATCGATGAACAACAGGAGGACAGTGACTCACAGTGACAGTGATGTTAGAAAGCTGAGAAGGAAACCAGGGGCCCGTATTCCTGGACAAAGTTCCTTTTCATTTGAACAGGGAGAGACAAAGTCCACAAGGTCATCTGAAGTGGGTAAGAAAGTCAACATCGGGTCAATGTTTGCTCTTGAACTACAACCCATTGTTCTCACGGCTTAACTCTGGATCTGTGCTCAGGGATTACTCTTGATGTTGATCAGGGAACCACAGGTGGTGCCAGAGATTGAACCCAGTTGACTGCCTCCTAGGCCAGGACCCTTCCTGATCTCTGTGGATCCATCAGGTGAATTTTTTAAATAGTATTTTATTTGCAGTTGAGTCTGAAATTGTTTGAAGAGGAGAGGTAGTACCAATAAGTGGTTAGGAGTATGGGCACGAAATTAAACCATTCTGTTTTTTTTTATTTAGATTTTTATTAGTGAAACACCATGAGTGGGATGGGGGAGGGGGCGGGAGGGTAGGAGGCATATTGAGATCAGTGGTGTTAAGCTATTCTGTTTTAAGCCAGGTTTCCCCCATTATTTTCTGTAATTTGGGGGAGGGGTTCATTGCTTCTCAGGATATCACTTTCCAAATTAAGTTGAGAACATTACAAGTTCATTTTTTTCTTTTTGCTTTTCGGGTCACACCCAGCGATGCACAGGGGTCCCTCCTGGCTCTGCACTCAGGAATTACTCCTGGCAGTGCTGGGAAACCATACAGAATGTTGGGAATGTAACCCGGGTTGGCTGTGTGCAAGGCAAATGCGCTACCCGCTGTGCTATCACTTCAGCCCCCACAAGTCCATGTTTTGGATTTATCAGAAACTATACTATTAGAATAACAGTACGCTATTTATTAGATTGACATAATTGGGCATACCTTAGAAAAAGAAATCTGATATGATGTTGACAAAGGAATAGACAGGAAGTAAGTGGATTGATAGGATCTATTCCATGATGAGACCTCACAAGTGATGCCT